AACCCTTGTTGTTGCACTGGAAAGATTCTGAAGACAATGTTAACTGTATTTCAAGGCTATACACCTTTAACCCACCGACCTGGGCCCTCTAGTTGATAACTTGACTTCTTTGAGATGTCAACACAATACTGACTCTGGGGAAATAAGAAACCAGATATTCTAAGATCAAGCTTGACCACACTAGAAACTAGCCTCCACTGATGCTAGCAAGTCTGTCCAAGATCATATCAAGAATAGTTAACTGCTGTTAATTATTCAGGGACTGCTTCCCCTGAGTGTGGACCCTCACCTGCTTCCCCTTTAAAAACCCCCTGCTTGGTCCAGGACTTTGGAGATGGTCCACCATCTTCCCAGGTTACCCACTTCATAAAGAAAGCAACCTTTCTTTCCCAATGGACACTTGTCTCTAAGAGTATTGGCTTTCGAATGTCAAGCAGCCAACCTTGGGTTTTGGTAAGAAAAGAGGCTGCCAGCAAGTCCTCAACAAAGCAAATGCCTGGTTGGAGTCAGGAATCAGAAGGGTTGGGGGAGGGCGGTAACACCTGCAAAAGGAGAGGGAGGAAGCAGGACTAAGCACGAGGAACTGTTGGACCTGAGGCAGATCTGACAATAAGGCCAGCCCAACAGGAAGCTCTAAAGCAAAGATGGCGTGTTAGAGGAGCTGCGTGTTAGGCAGAAAGGGGAAGGTCCTTGTTCCGTTATTGTGCTCAGTCAATGGCTGGTGTCAGCCTGAGAAGGAGTTAACTGTCCGCTGAAGGCTGGCAGCTAATCAGGCTCCCAGCAGCCAGCTCGAGTCCTTTCTAGAAGGAGAATCTGAGCTGTTTTCCGCATCTCCACATCTGCATCTCACAAGGACTTTACTTTTAATTAGTTGCCTACATTACAAAATCAAAGAGTTCATATTAAAATCCAGATTTCTACCTTCTGTTTAAAAAATCCTAAGATCTGGGCGCCTGGGTGGCTCAGATGGTTAAGTGTCTGCCTTGGGCTCAGGTCATGATCCAGGGGTCCTGGTATCAAGGTCCGTATCGGGTCCCTGCTCAGCGGGGAGCCTGCTTCTCCCTCTGCCTCTCTCTCTCTCTCTCTCTCATGAATAAATAAATAAAAGCTTTAAAAAAAAAATCCTAAGATCTGGCATCACGGGGCTGGTATCCTCGATGGAAAACATGGGCAGAAGTGAATACACACCAAGCAGACAGGCTGGGTCAGCAGAACCCAGCAATCTCTACAAACTCCCAGCCACCAAGGCCACACTGTGTTGACATTCTTAATGAGCTTCTGACATCAACCGAGTAAAGCATTCTATGTACTATGCAAAAGAGGGTAGGATGACAGGTAAATTCACTGTAGAAAAATCAATCCATCGGAACTGGTCATGCCCTTTCTTTCTTTCTTTCTTTTTTTTTTTTGAAAGATTTTATTTATTTATTTGACAGACAGAGATCACAAGTAGGCAGAGGCAGGCAGAGAGAGAGGAAGAGAAGCAGGCTCCCTGCTGAGCAGAGAGCCTGATGCGGGGCTCGATCCCAGGACCCTGGGACCATGACAGGAGCTGAAGGCAGAGGCTTTAACCCACTGAGCCACCCAGGTGCCCCGGTCATACCTTTTCTAAGGTAATTTCATCATAGTCATCAACTGGAAACATTTGACCCAGGGTACAAATGTATTTGCACCAAACACAAAAAATACATACTTCCAAGCTTTCACACTGTAGCATTGTCTGAAATAGCAAAATGAAACAAAAAGGAAGTGAGTTAAATGTTCATCAGTAGGAGAAAGGCTAAATAAATTATGGAATATCCACACAATAGAATACTGTACAGCTATTTTGAAAAGGGAGAGAGAGAATAAAGTAGATCTATTATGTACTATTCAGAACATTCTCTAAGAATGTATTTTAAGAAATGAAAGAAATAAAGGAAAAGAAGAGAGAAAGAAAAGAAGCAAGCAGTTTGAAGGACAATACGCATAGTGTTCTTCCATTCGTAGGAAACATTTTTAAGGGAAAAATGCATGTAAAGCATAGGATACTTCTAGAAGGATACACCAGACCAGGAGCTATATGGGGAGCAGGTAGAAGCAGCATAGGAAAGAGTTACTTTTTTACTTTTCACTTTAAAACCTTCCATCTCTTTTTAAAATCATGAACATGTGTTATTTGTATAATTTAAAGACCAGCTATTTAATGATTAAAACAACAGTGCTGAAAGTAAAATTCCAATCGAAAGAAAATTAATTTCCATGAAAACTCTCATTCCCCAACAACGTCAGAAAAATGAAGCATAGCTATTCAACGTACACAGCAGGTCAGATTGTCATGACTCACTATGATTTCACATTGTGGGGATAAAAATGCCTCACCAGATTAGAAATATTCAGTAAAACTTATAAAAAGCACCAAACACTTGCCACACTTAATAAGTGGGCACTCAGTAAAGGTCACTGTTATTCCCCAGCCCTCCCCTACTGCCTATCCTGACCTGTGTCAATGACCAATCTAGGATGATTATTGCAAAATGCAAGATTTGTATTCCACCCCAGGTGAACAGTCACCCCTCAAGGAAGATGGGAGTGTCTCCCCAACAACAAAGGCATTTCCTCAGCTCTGCAAATGGTACTACCTCCATACATACAAGAGCAATCCCATTGCCTATTAACATTTCCCATTCCCAAAAGACTCCAACACACCCCTGTATTTCCCTCAAAGATTTCCTACTCCCCCCACTCCACCCCCAGTCTCCAACAAACCAACTTGATGAAGAGTAGGAGCTCGAGACTTGCACACCCCTTGCCTTCCCTCTACCCTTTCCTGTCCACAGATCTCCTCCCTGATGTCCCCTGTGCTCTCTCCAAAGAAATGGCACTGGAGACCCAATATCAACCCTACCCAGACAAGGAGGGGCATGTGATGTTCACTAAGCTCCCAGGCCAGAATTTTCTTTTTTCAGAACCCTCTGCTCTTTGAGGTGTGGGCTCCCTCTCCCTCCCCCAACTTCAGCTGCTGGATCTGGCTGACCACCTCGGGGCAGGAGACAAAGAGAGATCAGATCTGCCCTGGAGGCCTGTCTCTGTGAACCCAGAGTCCTGAGAACCCGAGTTCCCATCCTCCTCCATACTCTCCCCACAGGTCCACAGGTGCAGAGCACTGGGAAGGGTTTCCACAGTGCATTAGCTCTGAACAGAGGAGGAGGAAGAGGAGTGTCATGCTATCCAGCCTCTGTTGTCAATAATTCACGAGGTTCAGACTGAGGGGCACCAGTCAGAGTCAGTTTTCCCCGGACATGGGGAAAATTAGACTCAAGCTCTCTTATCTCATCAAGATGTGCTAAGTACCAAAGCTGAGTACCACAGCTGCAGCTCCTCGGCTGACGAATATACTATAAATCCAGTGCTTGCCTGATAGATCACTTGCTACCCAGACTTCCCCTTTTGAACACTGAAATCCCTTTTTAGCTGCTCTGCAGAACTACACATATACTAAATGAGTCTCTAGCAAGTATGAATTCTATTAAACAGCAATTCCCAGAACTGAATTGCACAGACCAGGATTCTTTCTCTTCTAACTGTAAGGACTGACAGAGTTAGTTGCCAGACTGGTGATTTCACCAACTAACAACACTTTTCTCAACCTACCCATCTGCTTTCATCATCTTTTCTTAACAAAAAGACTAACGCCAAGAAAAGAAAAGGAAAAAAGGGAAAGAAAAAGGAGCAAAAGCATATCCCTGAATAAGGAACTGTCAAGTTAAATAAGCTTATCTTTATGAAACTCACTATATTGTCTTTCTCTGTCTCAGTTTGTCTAGAACGAGTGCAAACTTTGCCAGAGATCAGCACCACTTCTCAGTCTAGCATTGGGAGGCCACTGGGTTAAACCAATTCAGTCGCTGACACTTGGGTCTCTTGGGGGCCTTTCCACGGTATCCCATAAGCCACCCAGATTTATTAATTCTCCCAGAAACCCAGAAGGGAGATCATTTAGACCCGCTTGGCAGAAGTGTAGGGTGAAGTCTTGGACACAGAATACATAGCTTGAGAGGACATTATTCATCATCTCCCCCAGCGTCCTGTTTACAGATGAAGAGCCTGGCCTGTAGCAACAATAATAGTAATTCTATGATGGCAATAATTACTATGTGTTTAGTAATTTCCAGTTTTTAAAGTGCTTTTACATTCAATAAATATTTATTGAACCGGGATGGAGGCTAAGACCTGGGGACATGGTGATTAGGGAGAATTGAGTACCACCACTGGCTGGGAGACCCTCTCACCTTTTCTACCACTTACGACAATGGGGCAGGCCCTTGAGGCGGAGGTACCAAAAGTCTAGTCCAGTCAGGATCTTTTTCCCTGCACACTGGTTACCATAGCGATGGGCGTCTGCCCTCCAGAGCTGTGAGGATGAGGAGACGGTGTGTGAAGGGCAGTGCCAGACCTAGCCCAGCCGCTTCACCTCATCACATCTCTCTCCCAGGCTCCTCCACCCTCACCTGGTGACTCCGTGTGGACCACAGGCAATCTCAAAACACTGGCCCTCTTGTGAGCTATCTCACGTATGCAGACCCAGACTTTCCGGGAGATGGAGGTCCATCTTGAAGTTCTGGGAAGGTAAAGCAACCAACTCAAAGCTCCCCTGCCCTCGAAAAATAGCAGGGTCAAGCGGCAGGACATTGCCGAGGGCGGGGAAGTCTATGGGTTCCCGCAAAGGAGCGGGCCCTAGAAGAAACCTGGGGCGACCGCACAGTTCCACGGCGGCCAGGGCGAAGCCGAGGACAGCGGGGCACGACAGCCGTGCGCCGGCAGGGGGCGCCCCACGGCCACCGCCCGCTCCCGGTACGAGGGGCTGGCGCCTGGCCGGGCTAGCCAGCGATCCCGCGCCCGGGCTGGCGGGGAGCCGGACGGAGGTGGGGCCGCAGGGCGGAGGACGGAGGCGGAGGGGGGCGGAGCCGAGTGAGGAGGAGGCAGGATCCTCGTTCCTTTGCTTACTGGGGTCATTACCTCCCCTGGGTGTGCGGCGAGGCGGCGCCATGCGGAGGGCGGGACTGTTGCTCGCTCTCAGCGGCCGGGCGTGGAGGTCTGTGCGGATGGCCAGCTCCGGGATGGCGCGCCGGGACCCGCTCGCCAATAAGGTGGCTCTAGTCACGGCGTCCACCGACGGGTGAGTGCCGGGGCCACAGTCTCTGAGGCTCCCACTATCCGGAAATAGGTACTAACCCCTTGACCTTTGCTTCTCTGCCGGAGTCCTCAGTGGACCTCACTGCCGCGCAAAGTCTGACCCCCGAAGAAGGGAACAACGTGGTCGGCCTGCAGTGCCTCCGAATCCTCTTGCGTCGGCCCCACTTCTGCCAGTCTCCTGTCACCGCTGCCCCTGGCTCAGCTGCGCCACTTCAGTCTCCCGGGGCCCTGGGCTGCCCCCGTCAAGTGGCCCCACCTAGAGTCTGGGAAGACCAAACACCAGAATTCCAAAACACTCCACAGATTTCAAAAAATCCTATCCCACAGCCTCCCTCGACCCTGCACATGTTCCAGACACCCCATTTGGCGCCCCTTTCCTGGACGGGACACAAGACCCATGTGTCCAGGTTTTTGTTTAGCTCAGTACATTTTGCCCTTGCCCTGTTTCTCACCCACCTCTCTTGTCTAGCCATTTCTCGTCCCTGAAGGGCTTTGCTAAATGCCTGCATTACACAAATCTAAAGTAAAAATGTATGCGAAATGCAAATGGCTAATAACTGCAAAGTGTGGAACCCTTACTCCCAGGGGAGTAGTGTAAAAAATGGACATTTTTTACTAGAGACCTATCCTTTCACATACACCCCCACATGTAATTAACAACAGAATTTTGAGATGATGTAGACTAGTAAGGGAGGTATCTGGGGACAGGGGCTCTTTCGGGTGAGACGCTCCAATCATGCAAGTGGCTGTTGCTACACCCCTACCTCCTTTCTCTCCCCTCAGACCCTGCAGGGTGTGGGGCCTGTCACTGCAGGGATCCCTGTGGAAGGTAATGTCAGTTCCTGAGAACCTAGCCGGCGGGGGGGCCAAAACCCTAGGAAAAGTAAGTAAATGAGTGCTAAAAACACGCTAAGCATGTCCATCTGTATGGTAACAGCTCTTTTACACATAATGCAGACTGGAGGCCCTGCAGAGGGAGAGCTGGAATTCAGACCTGGGCATTCTGACTGCGGAGCTCATCTCTCAACCACTTCCCCCTGTACTGGCCCTGATAGACCTCTCTCTCTGCCTCAGGATCGGCTTCGCCATCGCGCGGCGCCTGGCCCAGGATGGGGCCCACGTGGTCGTCAGCAGCCGGAAGCAGCAGAACGTGGACCGGGCAGTGGCCACGCTGCAGGGGGAAGGGCTGAGCGTGACGGGCACCGTGTGCCACGTGGGGAAGGCCGAGGACCGGGAGCGGCTGGTGGTCACGGTGAGCAACAAGGGTATGGGCACAGAGACAGGTGGTGGTGGAAGGGAGCCTGCCTGAGCCTCCTTTCCTGCTTTCCTAGACAACACTGATGTGATGCAAGCCAGCACTATTAACTGAAACGTAACTGGTCGTTCTGCGTACCATTCCACCCACACATTTTTACTGTGTGCCTTTACTATGATGTCTCTCAGAATCATCCCATCCCAGTCAGAGAATAAAAAACCACTCTAATGCTTCAACCCTGCATCACCAACCCTTAGGTTACCCAGGAAAACAGCTGGCCCTGGTTCTCCAGTAGTTTCCAATCTAATTGGGCAGATGAGAAAGGTAAATGCGATTGCAAAACAGATGTCTCCACCCACAGACTAATAATCAGTGTCCTGTTCTATAGCTTGTTGAGTCAAGTCTCTGGGAACCTCTTCTGTGAGGCAACCTACCATGTTTCATCCACTTATGTTTGCTATTCTCTTTGTCCAGAGCCTTCACGGGTTATCTCTAAACCTGACAAAAACCTAAGCAAGGCAAGGACTATTCTCCCGGTTTTCAAACATTCGGAACATTCCACTCTGAAAGCTAGAGCAACGTCCCGAGGCCCCACAGCCAGTCAGAAAGAGCTATAAATCAATCCAGACCTGCCAAGCTGACTACAGACCACCAGGCATTTCTCCATTAGCATCAGGGCAAGTCTTTCATGCCCACTTGGACGTTAGTTTCAAAGAAAGTGTCAAAGGCAGTGTCAGAGCTGGAACTTGGCACCAGCCTTCCAGCAACACAAGAAAATATGAGTATCTGGTAAAGGAGGCCGCTCTTCCCTCAGGCTCAGGACATACACTTTATTACCTGGAGCAAAAAGGAGACTCTACCCTAGATGGAAAGTAGAGCAGACTGGAAGGCTGGCAGAAATAATTTGGTAATCGTAGAAGAAGGGTTCCTTAAACAGTGGTAAATGGTGGTATGACAGGATAAAGTCATTCCGTGTGGGGGGAACCATTTAGCAGTGCACTGGGGAGAGCCAAATGTGTGTCCAAGAAAGTAACTTTGGGGCACCTGGGTGGTTCAGTCAGTAAAGGCCCTGACTCCTGACTTCAGCTCAGGTTATGATCTTGGGGTCCTGAGATGGAGGGCTCCAAGCTTAGCATGGAGCCTGCTTAAAATTCTCTCTCTGTCCCTCTCCCTTTGCCCCTTGCCACCTCCTTTAAAATAAATACTTTTTTTTTTTTTTTTTGAAGGAAAGAAAGTCACATTGTCTGGCATAGGCTGCTGGATAGAACCTGAGTTTGGGACCTTGATCCTGAGGGTGAAGAGAGCCTCTGGGATCCTGGGCCAACTGGTGACTAGCTATATGAAATGTGCCTAGCAACTTAATTTTAAAATCCTGCCAGGGAAACAACCTCTAACCCCTACCAGGTCCACTTTCCCTGTCCTACAGCCCTGGCCCAGAGGTGGGGCTTGAGCTAGACCTCCCAGAGGGGGTGAGACTGGACAGATGGAGGAGTGACAGGGTTCCAGATGACCCTGCAAAATGAGCAGGCAGCCAGGGAGGGCCTGAAGGGGAGAGCAGAGCACCGTGAATCCACAGCAAAGAGCATGGGCTCAGGAGTGCCGGTGGAAAATGGCCTGGTGGGAAGGATAAGGGACAGGGGCTCCATAGCCTCCCAACGAAGGTTAGATGTTCTTGGAGGAAATAAGCCACACGAGGTTTTGAGCAAGATGAATATGGATATATTTGAAAAAGATAAACTTGCACCAGTAAGAGGATATATAAGAGTAGAAAAGACTCTGAGCCAAGGATGTTAGCAAGGAAACTGTTTCTACCATTAAGGTCTAGAGCAGCAGCAGTGGTACCAGAATGGATATGCCCAAGAGATGTTTAGTGGGAACCAAGCAAGATTTTTTTTCTTCCTAACGCGGTGTCAAGAAATGGGAAATAGGGGGCGCCTGGGTGGCTCAGTGGGTTAAAGCCTCTGCCTTCAACTCAGGTCATGATCCCAGGGTCCTGGGATCGAGCCCCACATTAGGCTCTCTGCTCAGCGGGGAGCCTGCTTCCACCTCTCTCTGCCTGCCTCTCAGCCTACTTGTGATCTTTGTCTGTCAAATAAATAAATAAAATCTTTAAAAAAAAAAAAAAAGAAAGAAAGAAAGAAAGAAATGGGAAATATGAGGGTTAAGTCGAAAACCACCTGTAGGGGCTCCTGGGTGGCTCGGTCCATTAAGCGTCTGCCTTCAGCTCACGTCATGATCCCAGGGTCCTGGGATCAAGCCCCACATCAGGCTCGCTGCTCAGTGGGGAGTCTTCTTCTCCCTCTGCCCCTCACCCCTGCTCATGCATTCTCCCTCTCTCTCTCCTGCTCTCTCTCTCTCTCTCAAATAAATAAAATCTTTAAAAACACACACACAGGGATCCTAGGTGGCTTAGTCATTAAGTGTCTGCCTTCGGCTCAGGACATGATCCCAGGGTCCTAGGATCGAGTCCCTCATCTGCTCTCTCCTCAACAGGGAGTCTGCTGCTCCCTCTGCTTGTGCACTCTCTCTCTCTCTCCCTATGACAAATAAATAAAATCTTAAAACACACACACACACACACCTTTCAAGTAATTTGTATGGCTAGTGTCAGGGTGGAGAATGACCAAGAGGGTACTTATTAGCTATTGGAGATGGGTTCTGCCTGTTGCCAACTGTTACCCTATAATGGGGAATGCCACTCTTTAAGAAGGGTATCAGGAGCACCTGCGTGGCTCAGTCGGTTAAGTGGCCAACCCTTGATTTCACCTCAGGTCATGGCCTCTGGGTCATGAAAATGAGCCCCATGTGGGGCTCTGAGCTCAGTGGGAGTCTGCTTAAGATTCTCTCTCTCTGCGGCCTCCAGGCACACACACTTCCTCTTTCTCTCTCTCAATCTCAAATAATAAGTTAATTTTTTAAAAGATTTTATTTATTTATTTGACAGAGATCACAAGCAGGCAGAGAGGTAGGCAGAGGGAGAGAAAGGGAAACAGGCTCCCTGCTGAGCAGAGAGCTAGATGCGGGGCTTGATCTCAGGACTCTGGGATCACGACCCGAGCCGAAGGCAGAGGCCTTAACCCACTGAGCCACCCAGGCGCCCCAATAAGTTAATTTTTAAAATGGTTACTATCCAGTGGCTTCCTAATCTGTGCCACAAAGCTTCTCAAAGGCATGGGGGAGCAGAATCCAGATCACTCACTTCTCCACTTGACTATACTTTTTCTAAAAAATATACCTACCCAAAAACAGAGCACCCAACTCCTAACCACTTTAGGGTAGCGATCACACAATTTAGGGCAGGCTTACAAGACACCTGGGTGGTCATAGCGCCTTTCTCATGAATCTTCTATGGTTCTCTGTTCAGTCAAAACCTAGACTTCTCGGGGTGCCTGGGTGGCTCAGTGGGTTAAAGCCTCTGCCTTCAGCTCAGGTCATGATCCCAGGGTTCTGGGATCGAGCCCCGCATAGGGCTCTCTGCTCTGTGGGGAGCCTGCTTCCTCCTCTCTCTCTGCCTGCCTCTCTGCCTACTTGTGATCTCTGTCTGTCAAATAAATAAATAAAATCTTTAAAAAAAAAAAAAACAAAAACAAAAAAAAACCTAGACTTCTCGGGCGCCTGGGTGGCTCAGTGGGTTAAAGCCTCTGCCTTCAGCTCAGGTCATGATCCCAGGGTTAAATCAAATGTCTACTAGGGTAAATTGTAACTCAATTGGTCACCTAGCATCACTGTGGAGTTTCCTGTGTGTGTTACAATCTCATTGGCCACCTGTGAGTGGCCAGGCCAGACCACATGGCCTTTGCCCTTAAAAGCTAGACTGTGAAACAGAGAAGGGTCACCCTCTCTTGTAAGAGGTGCGGCCCCAGGGGGCTCTCTGCTCGGTGGGGAGCCTGCTTCCCTCTCTCTCTCTCTCTGCCTGCCTCTCTGCCTGCTTGTGATCTCTCTGTCAAATAAATAAAATCTTTAAAAAAAAAAAAAAAGTGCGGCTCCAAACATTCAGTTAGATTCTTGATGCTTGGCGCGAAATAAAGCTTTGCTTGACCTTCGCTTTGTATCAGTCTCGCTCCTTTAATCACGGACCCATTATTGGGGCATAACACATTCACTCCACCATCTTCCTGGATAATTTCCCTACCCTGTCTGGTCTTTCTATCTTTTGGTTCAATAGTCTGGAAAGAACCCAAGGACCAAAGATGGGGTTAGAAATGGAGAACCAAACATTTTCAACAGAAAATTGGAAAATGCCTTTTTGTTGCTGCTGTTAAGGTTCATGCTGGACCTAATAAAAGGGGAGCAAGGATGGAGTACTGAAATAAAATCTTACCACAAACCCCTTAATAACTCGATGTAGTAACTGCATTCCTAAACTTTCTGAACCTTCCAGGCATTTTGCAAGCAGCAGAGGCTATGTTGATTTCTCTAGCTACAAATGAGGGAGATGCCAAGTTATTTCCAAGGTTTTTTCCAGCTCTGAATTTCTTCAACATTAAATAATATTTAACCTGTAGATTCGGGCCCTCATTGATGCGACCAGAATTATCCCCACTTCCTGCTACCTCACCTTCAAAATACCCACGTGTGTGTATGTGCAAATGCGCGTGGGTACACACATACACACGCGCGCACGCACACACCCTACTCTGATTTCCTCATTTGTAAATTTTTCGCATCAACCGTTATTAAACGTAAAATGAAACTGTGAAAATGACAGTGAGGGAACTGAAGAGAAAACTGGTTTCTCTGGAATCATGGAAGCTCTGCTCACCCAGATCTGCTCCAACACGTGAGGTGCCTAAAAGTAGAGCCCACGGGACAGCACCCACAGCCCTGTATGGGTGAGGCACCAAGTCTCCACCCGGTCTGGACTCTGAGGGGCAGCCCTGCGGCCCTCTGGTGGACACACTGTGGAATCGCAGCCTTCCAGCCTAAGCAAGGGCACAGGAGCCCACCTGAGAAGAAAGCCCCTGGGGCTCTGCGGGAGGGACCTGAAACCCTAACCAAGGGCCTACCCACCCCCCACCAACCAGGTCCTTTCCTCAGAAATGGTGGTCTCATGT